GGTGTTGCGGGTAGAATATACAAGTAAATTATAAGAGAAGATTATTAATTTTAGGTTTCTTAATATAATTAAAATTAAAGAATTTTAAAATCTTTAACTAAATATTTCTAATGGGTTATGAATTGAACTGAAGTATAGGTTTTAAAAATAAAAGAGAGGTCTCTATAATTTTACTAGAATGGAAAGGAAATGATTATATTTTACTCTAATTAAAATAAATGGTATCCGCTACAATTTCATTCTAACTACTCCATTTATTTAAAAATGCAAAATATTTTTAATCGAATCTCATTGTCAATAAAGTATTTACTTTTTTAAATTAATACCCTCTTTTCATATTTACCTATATTTAATAGAATGCTTTGCTTGAAAATACATATAAATATAAAGTGACTTATTCACTAGAAGCATTTTTTTTAAAAAGACAATGATTACATCTTAAATATTAAAAATGCTTTGCGCTTTTTAATGGAATGAGTATATATTATACTAATTAAATATTATTATAATATATATGAAGATTACTCTAATTAGATGTTGGAACAAAATGAGGAAGATTAGAAGAGGAAGGAATGGATAATTAAATGATAAAAAATTATAAACAAGTTAGTTAAAGGTATGAGCCAAGATTGGCATTATACCTTTACTTCACATGTCAAGTTTGGATGTAGGTAGGAACAAACTAATAAAAAATAAACTAAATTATGATAATGCTGTATTATGAATTTATAAGATTACTTCAGAGCCTAACTTTTGAGCAAAAGAAGATTTATCATAAAATTATTGATGCTGTTGAATTTGATAAAGGAGATTTTTTTTTCTTGCATGGATACAATGATATTAGAAAGACATATGTTTGGAGGATATTTTTTGCTTCATTAAGATTTAGAAATAAAATAATTCTCAATGTAACATGGAGGAAAAGTAGTTGTGTTTGGTAGAGATTTCAAGTAAATTCAACCCTTTTATTATTTTAGGTGGGTGAAGAGAAGACGTTATTTTTGCTATCATTAACTCTTTATTTAGGGACGATTGTCAACTTTTGACACTAACAATAAATAAGAGACTTTTAGTAACAAATAATGAAACATCTATCAATGCTTTTTAATTAAGATTTTATTGACTGGAATATCTCAATCGGTGATAGGATTGCTGTTGGAGGTAATAAAGAATTTTTGAATACTAAGATCTTAGTTGATTTATCAATGGCTGGTTGATCGGATAATCCAGTAAAATCTATTATTGATTCAACTTTCTTGGATTTCCTTACCAATAGATATGATTCTTCATTCTTCATATTTTAGAGATAGTATATTAGCTCCTACATTAGTTGTGGTTGAAAAAATAAACAAGTACATGTTATCTTTGCCACCTGAAAAAAAAGTTATATACTTGAACTATGATAGTGTTATTAAAAATGATAGGGACATGAATTCACTTAATGACTTATATTTTATAGATTTTTAAGTTAAATTACAATGTCAGACCTCCTAAATTATGAAATAAGACGGCTTAAAGTGGGTGCTCCAATTATTTTAATGTGAACTAGAACATTGATAAGTCTTTGTGGTTGTGCAGTAATACACGTCTTATAGTTATATGAACTAAAAAACATGTAAATGAAGCCTAAGAAATGTTTAGATCAACTACAGGGATGAAAATTTGTATACTGTGTATTGCTATACATCCATCTGATTCAAGGTTGCTATTTACCATGAGAAGGAGGTAGTTTCCATTATGTTGGCCTTTATAATGACCATTAATAAGAGCCAGGACTAGAGCTTATGTCATGGTGGTTTGTTCCTACCTTATCCTATTTTTACCCACAATCAATTATATATTGTTGTTTCTCTTGTTTGACATAAGAAGGCTTTAAAATTATTGATTCTTGATGAGGATGATCGCTTTAGATATATAACTTTTAATGTCATTTATAAGAAAGTTTTTAATACGTTGATCTAAATAATTATGAATTTTTGTTAATCTGCTTCCCATCGTATCCGTTTACACAGTATGCATTTAGTTTTTACCATTTGCTTTACTTTAATATGCAGCCTCATTGTGCATAGGATGATATAGAGAATGTGTCTAGTATAAGTTATTTTTTTGAGAAAAATTTTCTTGCAAGATTAATACCTATTTATAAAAACTGTAGTATAAAACCCCATGCATCGCTTGGATATTTTATTGACTTATAAAAAGTTAAAAAATTTAATATTAAATTAAACTATTCAAATTAAATTTGCATTGTTCAAATTAGTAATAAATATATTTATAAATTTTGTTATAATTTATATAATTTTTATAAAAGTACAGAGTTTCTTTTGATAACTAAATTATTTTTTAATAAACTTGATTGTGTGCTTTGTATGAGAGAAGCTTTTTTATGCATATATGTCTTCCCAGTCATTAAATAAAATGCATGGTGAGAATTACCCCAATTCCCAATCCTCTGCACTAGTTTCACGACTTGTGATCCATATCCATAAATAGGACCTATTAGCAGTTAATAATAATAATAATATATAATAATATATATATGGTATGGTATGTATGTATGTATGTATACACTTTTTCACCTCAAGTGGCAGAAAAGGCAGATACAAGAAAGAGTTCGGCGTTTGGATAATTATTGTTTCACATTTCAAAAGTAACTTTTTACCTTTGGAATGTAAAATACTGTTTGGAATAATTTTATGAGAGTAAATATATTTTTCAAAAAGACTTCTCAACCTAGTTGAAACGTGAAATTTTGGAAGTTTTATTAGGTAACTTTTGAAACAGAAATGTGGATATGAAGCATTAAAATGTGTGTTTGGTTTTCAGTTTGTCAAAAGTCAGTTTAATGAAAATTCATTTCCCAAAAGTCAATTTAAAAAAAGTCAGTTGTTGTAATAAAAGTTGTATTTAGATAATTTTTTTAAAAGTCAGTTTGGCAAATTTTGTTTGGATTAATGTGTTTTTGAAATTACTTTTGAATATGCAATAACTAAAAAGGACATTAACTTATAATAATTGGTAATTTTTTTATGCAAATAATATATTAAAAATGTTAAAAAATACAAGGATAAAAATATAAAATTTAATATTGGAATAAATTATGTAATCATTTTACTATTTATGTATTTTATTTATTTATTTTACTATTTATTATTTACTATTGATGCATTTTATTTATTTTCAATCTATGAAACCTTTGTGTTTTGATCTATTCGCTAGTGCTTTTATATTTCTTTGTTTCAAGTCGAAGAAACCCAAGGAGCTTGAGTAGAGATAGGAATAAATTAGTGAAAATACGAGGCGATTGCACGACAAGAATGAGGGTATCATAGTTAAATGCAAAATTAGGTACCAATCTTTCATTTGGGTAATTACTAGACCCTTATAAATGGTAACGAGCAAGTAATTAAGGTATCTTTGAACATCTCAACAAACCGGACTACTCAAACTCAACAAAGACTCTCAATCAAGATCAAACTTGCCTAACACGAACTTCATCTTTAGTCTAAACTTTTGAGATTTATTACTTTGTTCCACTCTTATTGCCATACCACCTGCCTTGCACATATTTTCAAGGAATGAACAATAACTTCCTTGTGAACATTTGCACTCCTTGAAATTCTTGATAGCTTAGGCATTTCAAGAAAATTGTAATAAAAGATCTTGAAAACTCACAATTGCTGATTAACATCTTCTTCAAAGAAAAGAAACCCCTCTAGCATGCATGGTACATAGGGACGAAAAGAGAAATTTTTATTAGGGGCAGAGATGAAAAAGCAGATATGATAATTAAAAAAAAATTATATGTATGCATGTATGTATGTTACTAACATAACATAAATATTTAACATATATATTTATATTTAATTTTATGAATATATAACAAAAATAAATATATATATTCATTTTTTAAATTTCGCTCATCAATTTTTTATGACATAAAAATTATTAATTATAATGTCTATGATAAACTTTTTAGCAATGTCCTTATTAATATAAACTATCATTAAATTAATGAAAATCCCATCTTCTCTACAAGCATTGAATGATTTAAACATATCTTTAAGATTTAAAGTTTTGCTTGATCTAACAAACTCTATCACTTGCTTACTAAATTTAATATTTAATTCTTTCAATTGATAATTGTAGTAAATAGATATATCAATATGGTAATAAGATCAAACATAGCCTCTTGGCTTTTGGATAATTTATTTTTGTTGCAATGCTTAGTAATAATTTTCATAATTTATTTTATCAAATATAAAATGAAAAACAAAATCAAATAATATCAATGCTTTAAGGGCACGTGTAGTATTATCTTATTGAAAATAAGTAAATCCTACAACAACTATATATCTCCAAGCTAATGAAAAAGTTGTACTATACATGCATAAAAGACTGTATATAAAATTAAAATAAAAATTTATTTAGTGTCTCAATACTTCTGTAATGTGCCAACTTAAGAATTGAAAATATATAATTCTCACATTTTACCAAAAAAAATAAAAAATTAAGGAGCTGTGGCCTCTCTGATCCCCCTATCTCCACCCTTGCTGGCATATACAGGAGGCATGCAAGGCTCCAAAAACATGCATGGACCAAATAATATTATTAGATAACTTAAAAATAATGCAGATATCAAAAAACCTTACTTAAGTTGCAGTCCTCTTAATTTTTCGTTGAATTGATGATTTTTAAATTTAATGGTCAAATTTAGAAGGGAAAAAAAAGGGAGAAACCAATTCACAGTATTCCATTTTTTTTTTTGAAGATGTTATCTACATGGAGTTAAAGTTGATCAAAATTCTCGCAAATTGAAAAACTAATGTAGTACTCGTATTATTCTTGTTGGAGAATCAATACGAGTCTTAGCTATTAAATTAGGTTGGTTTTGTATATTAGTGGCGAAGAGTGAAAGAAAGAATCGCATACTGTACACACAACACACACATGCATATCTAGTGCATATATAATAGGAAAATTAGAACTCGCAACTCCTAGTGAGATTTTTCTTGCCATCAACGAACCATGTTTTTGACAGCTTATACATAAAGAGCCTTGGCAAATATATTTTATATTTTATTAATATTATATAACTTTATTATGTTGAACATACCTTCTTCTTCGTTGCTAAAAATGCATAATTAAACAGTTCATATGGTAAGTTCAGAGCTCAAGGCCTAGTGTTAAATCTACTAACAAGTTTACATCGGATAGGTTTTTTCGGTTCAAGTGAAAGCTTGAGACATTCTGAAAGATCCACTGGCTCTACTGGAAGCCATATGAAACGGTGAAGAAGCTGTGCGAGCCAGAGATGAACCGTGGCTAGGCCTAGTGCTCTTCCAGGACACACCCTTCGCCCAGCTCCAAACGGTGCAAGTCTCAGGTCCGACCCCATGATGGACGCTTCCTCTTTCATGAACCGTTCTGGCTTGAAGACCCATGGGTCTTCCCAAACACACGAGTCATGTGTTATGGCCCACATGTTTACCATTGCCGTTGTGCCAGCTGGCACAAGGAACTTACCCACATGGACATCGTGTACAGAAAGCCGGGCCCATGAGAGAAGTGGGCCCGGTGGGTGTAGTCGAAGAACTTCTTTCACTATGGATTGAAGGTAAGGGAGCTTTGGGATGTCGGAATCTCTCACAGGATATTGTCGTCCAATGCAGTCATCAATTTCTTGACGAGCTTTTGCTTGAACATCTTGATGTAAAATCATCCTAGCCATAATCCACTCAAGAAGTATAGCAACTGTATCTGTTCCTCGAAACATCATTTCCTACATCAAACAATCAAAATCAACCATAAAAGAGACGTAAACATGTTTGTTTATGTTACAATCTCAATTGTATTTACAAGTGGAAGATCCTTACCCACAAAATAGCCACTGTATCTGAATCACTTAACCTCTCTTCCTTGGGCAAGGACAAGAGAGCGCCCAGAAAATCATTCTCTTCTTCTGCATTCAACGTCACATTTCTTTTTCGTTCTTCGACAATTTGACCTACAACACTATTAACCTTACATGCCAATTTGTGACACTTTCTCTTCACTCCACCAAAGTCCATAAACTTGAACGGAAAATAATCTTCCCAATTGAACTCAACAATTAGCTCATACCCTTCCTTGATCATGCGGCCTAGCTCCTCTCCTTTTGAACGCGTGCAATTACCAAAAACAGCCTCCAATATATTCATCAATGACCCTTCCTGTAATATTCCCCTCACTTCCACGACCCCTTTCTCCTCCATCTCCTTCCACGCTCTTGTCATCATTTCGTCAGCCACACGCCGTCGGGTTCCTTCAAGCCCTGAGATTCTCCGTGGACAGAACAAGTGGACGGCTGCGATCCTGCGGAGCCGGCGCCAATATTCGCCGCTCGGAGCGAAGCCAATAGCGCGCTCGAACATGAGCGAGCGAGCTGATTCCTTGATGGGCCGGTCCGAGAACGCCGAGTTGCATAGAATTTCCCGAGCCGTCTCCGGGTGGCTGGCGATGATCACCGGGTTGGCTCCCAGGCTAAACGCCATGAGCTGTTTCGCGTCAAGGGAAGCAGCCATGGCGGCGAGTTTACGGTGGGCAAGAGAGCCCATTTGAGGCAAAGACCCCAAGATGGGCCAGCCCATTGGGCCAGAAAGTTTAATGGGCTTCTTCTCATCGTGATGGCGAATGTAACGGTAATTCCTCCATGCAAAGCCTCCAGGGACGATCCAGTAGTTGAGAGAGAGAGCACAGAGAAAGAGAAAAAGAGAAAGAGGCCAAGAGGAAGAAGAACAGAGGGTAGTTTGGGAAATTAGTTGAAGACCAAGTATTGGTAATAGGAACAGTATTGGGATAAGCTTCATGTTTGAGAGAGAGTAGAGAGGAGAAGCGAAGCTGAGAGAGTGTTATGCTTTATGATATGAATAGCTCGTGGAACTATGGGGAGATGGACGCCTGTCATACGGGGGATGAATTGTACATATAGGTGTTTCAAAAGTGGTTGAGTTTGACGATCTCTGGTTAATATCTAACCATGGTTAGTAGATTTTATCAAGATGAATATTCTAAAAGGAAGGGGAAGGGGGGGAAATGCTTTCACCACCAACTCACTTCATTACACCAGACCCACACCCACCTTCCCTTTTCTCGTGATCAATCTGCCAGAAACCATCAAGAAGAAGAAGTGATGTGCCCATTTTTCTCCTTAATTAATTAATTAATTTTAGAAATTTAGGTTGTGTTTAGGACGTAATGAAATGGAGTGGGATGTCTGGAAGTTTTATATCATTGTTTAATACTTTTTTTATTTGAGAATTCAAGTGGAATGACTTGTAATCACTTTTTAAGTCATCATTAATCATCATAAACTCATTTTCTTCTAACCCTCAATTTGGAGAGTTGAGAATGGAATGACCTAATATAAATAATATAATTACAAAATAATTCTTGTTCTTCTCACTCCTCATACTCTTTCACTTCTTTTTACCCTGAAACTAGAAAAACATGACAATTAATTAAAAGCTACTTCCTTCTTTTAAAAATATAAAATATTTTTAATTAAATTTTACTTCCTAATAAAGTAGTTATTTATTTTTAAATTAACTCTATCTTTTCATATTTACCTCTATTAAACATCCTATAATAAATATAAAGCCATTTATTAATAAGGGTACTTTAAAAAAAGATAATAATTACACCTCGAAAGATTAAAAATTTTTATATTTTTTAACATCTAACTCCTTAAAAAATATCTTATATTTCTAAACAGAAAAAATATTTATTTTTGTAATAATTTTTAAATAACAGTTAAATAAAATTAAAATGTCAAATAAAATATTCTATTTCATTCTACTCAATCCCACTCCAGTATTCAAGGGTGGACCCACGTGCTTGGAGGGGACTTCCCACCAACCCCCCAAAAAAAGGTGTGTTTCTCAAGTGCAATAGGACATGGAACTACATGAATCAATATTTTGAAACACGAACCAGACATCAAACTAAAAAAAAATAACAGGTTGTAGTTTTCATGACATAAAAATTAAATAAAAAAATATTTATATGTGTAAATATATAAATAAAACATTAATTTGTCAATAATGCTTGAGATCTTGACTCCAAAAGCTAGATGCTTGGATTGTTAGAGTTAAAGGTAGATGCATGTCAATACAAGCTTATGATCTCGAAAGAAAATGCTGGAACTAGAGGCACGTCGTCATGTCATGACTCACAAGTTTTCGGTTTCGATAACAAAGGTTGAATCTTTAGAGTTGGAGGTAGAGGTTGGAGGAAAAGTTAGAGATTGAACTTAGGTTATGAAGGAGAGATTAGAGATTAGAGAAGAGAAGAAAAGAAAAAATTAGTGATTAGAGAAGAGAAATTGCGAATCTAAGCAACTTAGCCTAATTTTTTTTTATTTTTTTGGCTTTGACCCAGGTTGACCCAGCTCTGATTTCTGGGTCAAAGCCAATTCTTTCAAAACCAACCAGTTCAATTCGGGTCAGATGCTAGATTGATTCAACTGGTTGAATAAAACTATTTTGTTCAGCAGATGGTGGTCGGATCATCCGATCCGATCCGGTTTCAATAACACTGATATGAACTTGACTAAATGGGCTAATAATGAGATGGCCGATTGCGCAAGCAAAGAGTGAACTAAAATGATATCAACCTCTTCCTTATTCTTCCTCTCCTCCAACAATCTCATACTACTAATAAGATAATTCTCCCTTTTTAATTGCAAGTTCCAACACTTACCCATAATCCTTTATTTTGTCTTTAAATTTGATGAATGCATGTTTAATTTATTCATTACTGATACTTTCATTCCTCACTTCCGTTCAATGTTGCAGCTCTACTTCAAATGAGTAGATCTGCCTATATTAGATAGATATGCATCACATATTCTCACACTTACATAATTTTTTTTTTTACTAATCCAGATATGCTCCAAAACAAAATAAACTGGAGAAGAATTTGTATGATTTTCCTACTTATTCATTTTGGGATTTAGGTGATATATATGGCCAGCAACTCTAGCTTTAATTTGCCCCCCCTAATCCAAGGGTGTATTTGAATTTCAATTAAAAAAAATTGATCATAGAAAAAATTGATTGTTAGAATGTGATGATGTTTGGATAAATTTTTAAAAATTGATTTTGATAAATTGAATATGTTTGGATGATTTTTTGAGAATCAATTTTGAATGTGTAAATAAATGATATAAAGAAAAGTAGCCAAATGAAGTTTTATAAATGAAAAAAATTTTAGCTTCTCTAAAATATAATTTCCCAAACTAAATGAAATTTTGTAAAATGAGGATATTTGAATAAATTTTTACAAAACTATAATTTTAATCTCAGAATTAATTCTCAATGAGTATACAAACAGGCCCAAAGCTAATTCTACCCCTGCGTGCTCCGTCCCATCAATGACGGCTTCCATCATGTAGTATCAAACATTCAAGTCTGCTTCACTATTAAAATAAGAATGAATAGTGAAGAATGATAGTAAGATTACCTCAATTTGTAGGGTTGAGGATGAAATGAAATTATATGAGTAATATTATCACAAAATTATCCTTATCCTTCTCAATCATCTCACTCTTTCACATCCTTTCATAATCCTAAAACTAGAATAGTTAAATTAATTAACTGATAATAATTCTTAAATAATAAATAAATTCATTTCTTTTCTTCTTCTAATAAAACTCTCAAATAATGGAATTTACATTTTATTCCATTTCATTACATTTCATTTTACCGTCTCAAACATACAAGTCTGCTTCGTCGGCAAGAGAAAAACACAAATAGTGGAGAGTGAGAGTGAAATTATGGGAAAAACGAGTGAAAAGAAAAAGAGTGAAGGGAAGGGTGGGGACATTATCCATGGGAAAGGAAAGGTCAGAGGAAGCGCAAGTGCAAGCTTTTTTGGCTCATTTTGTTTTGTCATTCTAGTTAGTCTGTGAAAAAGAGTACGTACGCTTTTGCAAATTGCAATGATGTGCCATATTTTGCGTTGCCAGGTGTTACATAAAATCTCACGGAAACTTATATTGTCTCTCAATAATGCAGCTATCATTTTGTCTTTTACTTCATGGACACCGCATGAGGTCATGCTTTGGACTGAACAATATGGTACGTGTGTTTCCCCGTACTATGTGCCCTTTAATGCGTTCCAATCACCTTTGTCCTCACGTTTATCTACCGACCTTATTTTTATTATAAAATGCTTTTAATTACATCACTAAAATTAAAAAGAATTCGTTATTCTCTTCATTCATATATATATATATATATATATAATATTTTTAATTAAATTACATATATTAATAAAATTTATTATTTAGTTAAAATTTTATTAAATCACAATAATTTTTTAATTTTATTTTTAATAATGTCAATTGATATTATAGTGGTTGTGGGTAAAATACACAATTAATATTTCTCTTTTTTTTTAAGACAAGGCAAAATTGTAAAATTATTTAAAAAATATTATAACACCTCTTATATTAGGAACGAAGTAAATTTTTAAAAAATACTTTATACATAGGGACAGACGGACGGAGTAAGTCATTAATTTAATAAACTTCTAATTTTACTCCTATTTTAATAAAAAATTTTAAATTGCATTACATTTTTCTCTCATACTTAATGAATTTAAATAAGAATAATATTGAAAAAATATAATTAATATTTCATCAAATTCCTTATATTAAATATCAAAGAACTCTTTCAGAAAATGTTCTATAATAGGGATATCTATATTTCCCTTGATCATATCTCCTTTTTTGTTTTATTTTATTTTTGTCTTTTTTCCCTAAGATAAATTTAACTTTGATTACATACCTTAAGTTGTAAGTTTTGTTTGCTTAAAAAAAAAATCTTGTCAATGACTTTATAACCTAGTAACATATAAATTCTCTGATAAGTGAAAGAATATGAGTTTGATTTTACTTGTAACCACATGCAATTAGTGAGTTAAATCTCTCACTTATAAAGAAATTTGATACCATTGAGCTACGGCATCATTCATCTTTTAAAATTTGTTAATACATGTCAAATTGCACTAACTTTAGTATGAAATTAAAATGAATCTAACGTTCTGAGTGGTGCCTCTCTTTATTTTTTTTAATTGCTCTCTCTTTTCAAATAACAAAATCTTACGTATTAAAAAAATTGAAACACATAATAATGTGGAACTATCTCCTCCTCACAGAACATAAAGTTTGGCCAATCAAGATCACATCCCCACTGGTGGCTGCCTAAAAAAAATTCAATTAGTAATTTAAAAGGCAAATACTTTTATATGATAAGATTTAAAACCGCTTGCAGTCAATCAAGTTAAGAGAACATTCATAGAGTTGAGGAATACAGGTGGCCACATCAGTCATTTCCTGTGGTAGGATTAAGGGAAGATAATTTAAATGCCCACTAACTCCCTCATGTAGGTTACAACAAAGAGATGATTGGATTATGAGAGAATCAAAAATCCAAAGGAAGACAAATGACTAAAATTCCCAAAAAGCAAATGCAAGAGAAAGCAGGGGACCTTTACAGCAAAGTTAAATTATTGTCCCAATAACCAAAAAAAAAAAAAAGAGTTAAACTATTGCCCCAAACAGAATCTTCAGGAAAAAAATCAGCAAATTTCAAGATGATTCTTTTGCCTAGCTTTTCACATTTCAAATATTTTATCAATGTACATTGGATAGTGTATAGGTAATGGCCATTATATGGGTTCAAGTGAGATCACTTTCTCGTGATGGCAAAAAGTTGACCAATGTGCATCCACCACCTGTATAGGTAATGGCCATTACAAGAAAGCGGTCAGCTTTAAGCAAATTAAACAATTCAAGAAATTTTCAGGAATATCTAATTTTTTTTTAAAAAAATTAAGATTATCATGGAAAAAAATTGAGATGGTTCTGCATGAATGTTTAGGTATGATAGAAATATTTTTAGTAGAACTCTTATCAGAAAATCAACTTGCATATTTATTACAATTAGTTTAGTTCACAAAATTTTTTTTTGATAAAACTGATCTATTTAAGAAATATTTTTCCAAGTAGATATGACACCATCAATAATGCTTTTGCAAAAAAAAAAAAAACTTAGTTTAGTAGCACCCACATTCCCGGAATTGAGGGGTTGTGAGTCCTGTATCAAATGTGATAAAGGGTGTTTTTACTTCTTCGATCGGGACGGAGCTATCCTGAATTGGAAAAAAAAAACAAAAAAAAAAATTAGGACGAGACTTTTGCGGGATGCAACAAAAATTTCCATCCCATCCTGAATATATTATTATATATTTTTTTATTTAATTAATATTAAACATTTTATTTATTTAGTCAAAATCAAAGAATATATTTTTTTTGTTAAGAAAATTTAAGACATTTTTATAAGAGTTGAATATTAAAAAATAAAAGGTATTTTTAATCTTTTAAAGTGCAATTATTACCTTTTTTTTTAAGTATTCTTATTAATGAATGACTTTAATCACCTTATATTTATTGTAAGGTATTCAATAAGGGTAAATATGAAAAAATGAGGTTAGTTTAAAAGTAAGTAACCATTTTATTAGGGGGTAAAATTTAATTAAAAATGTCTTATATTTTTGAATGGAGAGAATATTTTTTGTTTATTTATTTTATTTTCTTTTTATATAATTATACACTTACTTAAATTGTATAACTCAATAATTCTGTTATTGCTATACTATACTTGACTTTGAACTGTGGTTGTTATCATTATGTTTTTTTATTTTAAATTGTAATTTAATGATTGAATTTATGTATTTATGTTGTTTTGGTTTTACATTTAGTAAGTTATGACATTTAATAAATGTTATTGTCCTAATCCCCTTTTCACGTTTTATGTGTTTTATTAAGACCTCTTGATTCCATCTTGATTTCAAATAGGACAAGATAACTATCAAGACGAAAAACAAGATAAAAATTTAACCTCATTCATTTCTTGAGATGAGACACACAATAATTTTTTAGAATAAAGCATATGATAAGGCTATCCCAATCCTGTCCTATAAGTACCCCTATAATAAAAGAGTGGTTGCATAAATGTCAAGTGTACAGTGTATTGAGCATTCCTCACTCTTCTTTATGAAAAAAGAAATAGATAGATAGATGCATATGAATGTTTGTATTTGATCTATTTGAAAAAAATATCAAGTAATTATATTTGCAAATGATTATACAACAACGGCGAATAACCTTATATGTAGAATCACTTACATGACTATAATTATAGTCATTTCTTTTGCAAAAATCACATTTAATTGCCAATTCGTCAACTTGACCCTTCCACATTCAACGAAATAAGCTTTCTAATTGAACTAGAAGGCGCAAAACTGCAAATAGCTACACGTATTACCTAACAGGCCACTTCCAAGTTTTGTTCCCCCCAAAAAAACATAAAAATGCTTATCTAGGAGGTAGCGAAGAGATGTGAAATCTAGCCATTTTAACCCCTGCTGCCATATACATTGCAAGAATAATCCAACCAAAGATGTCATATTTAAGGTCACTATCACTAGTCTCCTGTTTTTTGGATTCCTGAAATAAACCACAAAATTGTTATTGAACAGCCAATGGCACAAAGCTATGAGAATATGGTTGAGTCAAATTACCTTCAAAGAGAGAAAACGAGAAAAAAACCACTATCGAACAATCCAATTCCAGAAAGCTACTTTCATAATTTTTGTCCACAAACATGGTAAGCTAGTGAACAAGCAGTTCAAATGGCAAAGAATCTTAGGTCACATTTGATACAATGGAAAGGTTTTTAAACAGAATGGGAAAGGGTGAGGAAAATGGGCCTTTCAACCTGCATGTTTGGTATAGACGGGAAAAAAAGATTGAACATAAAAATTGAAAACACAGGAAACTGACATTTTTTTACCTGTCTTACCAAACACGGCACCAAACACGGCAAAAATGATTTTCTCTTTAATTCTCCACCAAACATGCCCTTATCATTTCAAAATTCTCATCAATTTTTAGCAGGTTAACAAAAGCTACACGCCCTCAGTTTATATGATTATATAAAACAATGAACTGGTGAACATCTCAGTGCTAACGAACATCTTTATGTAGATAGCCAAATCGCCAACCCATAAATAACAATTATATCAGGCCCAGGCCCAGCCTATGGTAGTACTTTTACAGACATCTATATGCAAATTATGCAGAGAGAACAAACAATGGAGTCCAAAAGCTTGTTAAATCCACATTTAGACTCGCAATACTTTATCATTCTATGAACACAAGCAGACAGATGCAAAACTCCACTAGAACTCAGAGACACTCAGCTTCCACCAAATTCAAAGAGCATGTGGTCAAAACTCAAGCATTCCACATCGAAATCCTATTATCTGTTGGTTGTATCAAAATATATCATCCTAGTGAGACCATGTTAATCAACAATGCAGAAATCTTAGTAGCCAATAAAAGAGTGAAAAGCCGGTCCTTTCACTCAAAAGAATAATTTAATTTTTTGAGGCATAATGTCTCTGATGAAGAAGGGCGAATCCACAGGACAGGATATGAGTTAACAAAGCCAGTTAGCCAGCTCCAGAAGTTAATATTGCACGCTGTGGTACTCATAAACATGAAATAAAGATAAAGTTCAGTTAAGGAAGTTAAATTCTTGCAAATCTGACCTTCCTGTTAAGAGTAGCTGATGATTGACCACTCTGCTCCTGATCAAACCCATTTTTGTAGACCTTCATGTGCAATTCTGTGGCCTAACATGTATGGATCGCAGTGAGTTATTGAAGTAAAAAACATGCAATTGTAAATTAGTTACATGAATTCTTATAAAACGTAAACAATAAAAAACTCAATTGACACCAATTGCCTAAGGAAAGCGTCCTAACGACTTCTATGGAGCATAGACTCAAATTTGGCAAGTTGCACGGATATTTCAAGACTGCAGTATCGTAAAAATTAACTTCACCATCTATGACCATCCAATTCAGTTCCAATTAAAGGAGTAACAATGACAAACACAATACGTTGCCTTATGACCCACACCAAGCTCAAAACAGCCTTTGATTGACTGCTTGAATATCTATCAAAGCCAACCCTGTAGTCTGACATAAGATTTTTAGTACAGTGGGTTCAAATATGAGGGCAGCCAGTCCGCATTTTCCTCCCCTTTTTGTTGCTTGTTCATAAAAATTCAAAAATATTGATTGATAGACTCTAGATCAATCAATAAAACCTGACAGAAAGTCCTGTAGTATAGCGAGAAGTCTTAACATTAATAGCTTACATTTACCAGTTCACATCAAAATATACGCAGTTAGATGTCTTCATATCAAAGATGGAAATGAAGACTAACAATGTTCAGGCGAGGTCCAAAACATAGTAATACACAAGGAAGTTGCAGTCGATTTGAGCATAAAAAAGCAAATTTTGAGCATGAATTCTATGGAAAAAATATTCATGTAATTGCCATAGCAATTTAATTATACCTTAATGGTAATTTCCAAGGACTTCTTATATAGCTCGTTCTCAGGATCCTACAAAAGCAGATTCCACTGCTAAAAATTTGCCAGATTTAGAACTAAAATATACCGTAGCTCAATAATAGAATTTACCTCTTCTACGGCTTTTTTAAAACACTTGTATGCCTTGTCAAAATAATTATTTGCCTCATGAAGATCAGGAGTTAGAAACGCATAAGATTTGTGGGCATTTCCCAGGTACCAAAGAGTATCATGCTTCGTGGGACAAATCAGTAAAGCTTCCTCCAGATTTGAGATGGCATCTGTGTAGTTGGCCCCGTCAAAAATCTATTAGAACTAGAAAGAGTAATTCATGCTGACAAAAGAGAATTCACATGAAAAAAAGATTAAAGGAGGAAGGCGAGTGGGCGTAAATTTTGCTCAGTGAGACACATGATATACCATTAATCATCCTCTTGGATTCACTGGGACTTTGGCACTGCGACAACTCAAGTAAAGCTACTCCCCACTTGGTCAGAATCTGCATGAATGCATGTTTAAAAATAGTGAAACTAGGGATGAGGCGCCAAGAGATGCAAGTGCAATTAGAGAGGGAAGGCTATCAATTTTCACTCCTTGGTTCTTGGAGATCTTTTTTCTTCTTTAGATCCAATCCTCATCTCTAACTCTTTTCCATGTAAGGTGAGGGATTTTGGTAATAGAACAAGCAAGAATTTTCATCACAATCTTCACTTCCTCACTTATTAGTTACTATTAGAACAAAATTCAACATGTGCGACCACACACTTAAATATTTAAAATATGTTGTTATTATTTAATTAAGCCTAAATAATAGTATGGTCTAATATAATTAAAATTTTAAGGCTTTTTTGATTAAAAAAAATCAAGGCTTTAAGGTATATAATTATTATGAAAATTAACGAGTAGAAATTTCTAATCACTCATATTGGGATAAAATAATCCCTCATACAAAATGATCTAAGGATAAAATTAAGGGAAGGAAAAGGGATATAATTAAGGGAGAATGACAATTAAGGACCTTCTAAGAACATTAACCTCAACTACAGACCATGAAATTTTGAAATTCCAGTTAAGAACCATGGTCCTTAATTGTGATAAAAAAATGTAATTTGTGAAGTGGGATTCACTAATATGACTTAGGAATTTACTAACCCAATTTGAGAAAATTACTAACATATATTGTGAAAACATAAAACCCTACTTGAGAATGAAATGTTTAACAAAAAGCGTCACTTAAAAATTTACTAACTAAACTTGAAAAATTTCTAATGCATATTGTAAAAAAATAAAACCCTACTTGAAAATAAATTGTTTAATAAAAAGTAATTTGTTCAAATTGGTGTTTTTTATTAAACAATCGATTCTCAAATGGAATTTCATGTTGTCGCAATATAAGTTAGAAATTTTTTCAAGTCGAGTTTGTGAATTCTCAAATGGCGCTTTTTGTTAAACAATTGATTTCCAAGTGGGGTTTCATATTTTCATAATATATGTTACAAATTTTCTCAAGTTGGATTAGTGAATTCCCAAATGACAATAGTAAATTCTACCTCACAAACTATATTTTTTTATCACAATTAAGGTCTATGGCCTTTAACTGAAATTTTAAAATTTCATGATCCGTAATTGATATTAATATTCTTAGAAGGTCCTTAATTATCATTCTCTTATAATTAATGATATTTCTAATTTGATGGTGGACAGATTCAAAGTATCACAAATTAATTAGGTTTATATAAGGGGTTATGGTCATCAGATTTCATTGTTGTGAAAATGGTTCTTTGTCCCCCTTGGAGAATCATTAGGAAACTTCACTCATTAACAATATTGATGATGATTAAACTCGGCGATCCTTGAACTATGGATTCAGGTACAATTCCACATTTAATCTCTCATATTCTCTAGAATTGAAATGGGATTTGAAAGATGTTTAGGGGGGACTGAAGAATCTGGATAGAGTCGGAATAATTAAATCCTACAGTTACTGTCCTCTTATGTGCAGGTCAACCAGCATACTCCAGTTTTAGTTTTCATTGTTTATCCCAAGGCCCAAACGTGAACAGCAAGCATCGATACTTCCATGTTATCACCACACTGTCCAAAAGAAACTAAAAGCTTCGAAACAATGTCACACATTAATTAAAAGAGTTTTGCAAAACATTTCAAGCACAAAATTTGTAGGTACGACATTTAGGTAGCACCTTCATAAATTCGAGGGAAAAAATGTGACTTCAAAAAGAAAAAAATAATACGAACCTCAGCCTCATGAAGGTTTTCTTCGCAGTTAGCTTCGGCATTCTTTGAGTTACATTCTGACAACCGGGCGCAATCAAGGTCTTTCTCGGAAAATTCCATAGCGAAAATGTGGGGAGGGAGAAAAAATGGGATGCACTCTATGAAGCATTTCTTTAAATTTGCTTCGTCTTCTTCTTCTTCTTCTTCGCTTTTTGCCTTCATGCGTCGTGGGAAATCAGTGTGACTGCTTAAGATCGAAAATCGATAGTGATGAATATGACAAATTGCAATTTAGATTTGTAACAGCCAACATTTTGCGTACCTTTGTTGACGTCGATGATTTTAAACGAAGAACAGGTGATTGAATTCGCAGAGGGAGATGATGCAATAATCATTCATGATTCTACATGATTACATCATTTGAGAGAAAAATTGGTGGGATTGAGCATAATGGTAACGCCTTTAGCGGATTCAAAATAATATATGCACAAATGGCAGAGGATGGGGTGGTTGTTTACTCGCCATTCTCTCCTTTGTGTCCCTTAAAATAAAATGAAGGAGAAAATTGATTTACTAAAATAAAATAAAAAAATTATCATCTCCAATTTCACAGTCTAATTCTGAGTGATCATCCCTGCCTTCGTTTGTTTTTCTCACAATTCAAATTCTTTTGTTCATGTCTCTCGCAAGTCGCAAGTCTCAATTTCATATTTGTTTTGTTAATGAAAAAAATATGCTTTTTCTAATCATTCTACTCTCTTTAAACCAATTCTTTTTTGTGGTTCTTAATTTTTTTTTATCATGAATAGGTGGTTTTTTATTGGAGTCAATACACTGTCTAATATTAAATAAGGACACATTTTCTAACAAGAATCAAAACATTATTCATTATATTATTCATTGTTTTGCTCTAAATTGCTCTAACAATACCATTCAACTTTTTGAACCTGATACCATTTTTTTTTTCGGTAAACAGAGATGGGTTAAGCTTAAGCCCACTAGCCTGGAAATTCAAACTACAAATCATTAGAGTAACATTTTTTCTTAGGCCAATCATAAGGATGATAATGTATATAGTTCTTCAATGTTTTTTTTTTGGGCATTACTCTTCATGAAATAACACTTTTCTATCCCAACTCTTCAATTCAAAGTGGAGAATATAAAGGAATCTTAGACTTGGGAACAATTTGTACTGCTTGATTCTTGGTTTACACAAGCAGAGCCATTATCACCCCAATTACCAAAGCCATCACCCTCCCCTAAACCTTCAATCTCACAATCTCTTGTGCCAGTCACAGAAGAGAACTCAAAAGAAGGGAAGATGTAGAGAAGCAAAAAAACAAAGATTTGTTGGTTTATTTAGGAAAGCACAAGTCCGAAACAGAAACAAGGGGTTAGGTCCCAAACAATCCTTCTGCACTAAGTTCCTTAGAAAAGAGGGAACCAAATCAAAAAGGGAAGAGGCAATGATTCCTTCTTTTGCCAATAAATCTACAACCATAGTTCTTCAAACTTTTTCTAGGACCATGTCAGTTCTTCATAGTTGAGCTCCTCCATGGAAATCCATGACTATAGGTAAAGTGGAATGCCAATATGAGTTTCCATACATGTAGTCGAGATGAGAGGACTTTAATGAGACCTAATTGAATTAAGTTAGGATGGGACCCTTTTGGGTGGAAGTTTTATTATCAACACTGTTACATTGTCAAAGTCAGAACTTAAAACTCAAATTTTTTTATTAAAATGCTACAACCCCTTTATTATTATTAGTTAAACCAAATGTTGTCACTTATCAAGGGTCATTTTACTGCAATCTGTCTATAACAAGGGCAAAACAAAAAACTATAAACAAGATTACACAAGAAGCATTAATTCTTGGCAAACGAACCTATTTAATTAAAACACCAGCCAACAAGAGGGGTGGGGGAGGCAGAGTGTGATAAATTAAGGAGAGAAAGGTCCAGAATAAGTGGAAATGACGGAAGAAGCCTCGTCTCTGATATGAGAAGCGAATGAAGGTTGGCGAAAGACCTTCCTGTTGTGTACCTGCTTGTTCCTTGCAACGTCCTTCATGAATGACATATTTATGCTATTCACTGAATACCCAGAACGCCTACTACTGCTAGTGCTTGGTCTCATCCCATAATTATTGTTACTATTCTCTTGCTCTCCTACTCTTGCACTCGGCACCTTCTTCTTCTTCCTGTTACACAAATTCAGTATCACATTCACCACCAGCGTTTCTAATTAAAGTGCATTGATATATCCACATATATAAAAATAAGATGTATTGTATTATATGCATATTTGATGTTATACACACATATATACACTTCATCCGTTACTATATATAAAGTATTTTTAAAAAGTTTATTTTGTTTTTAAATACAAGGAATGTCATGATATCTTTAAGTACTTAAACAATTTTCTCCTTGTCTTGAAAGGAGGAAGAGATATTAATTGCATGCTTTATTATCTACCATCATGATATTAATTGTGATATTATTGAAGGCGAAACTAAAAAATTCTTATTGTTTTATGTGCTTTCAACTAAATAATAAAGTTTTACTAATATGCGGGCTTCAATTAAAAACACTTTATATATAGAGATGAGAGAATATGTGTGCTTTAAACTAAATAACAAAGTTTTATTAATATGCAGGCTTTAGCTATAAAGTATTTTTAAAGTTTATTTTATCTTTAAATATAAGGAATGTCATGATATTTTCAAGTACTTAAACAATTTTCTCCTTGTCTTGAAAGGAGGAAGGGATATTAATTGTATGCTTTATTATCCACCACCATGATATTTATTGTGATATTGTTAGAGGCAAAATCAAAAAATTCTAATAATTTTATGTGTTTTCTAAATAACAAAGTTTTACTAATATGCGGGTTTCAACTAAAAATATTTTATACATAGAGATGAGAGGGTATGTTATATTTCAAATTTTTACCCTGATCTGCCTTCTCTTCTCTTCCTCCCTTTTCTGCTTGACTGAGTTATACTCTTCCAACATGCCATCAAAGGTACCTGCCAATAAATATCATTTTCCGTGTGTGTGTGGGGAGTTAGTCTCTTAATAATTGGTCAATTACAATACTTGTTCATGCTTTATCCGCAATCTATGCCTAGAAGCCTGTTCATTAAAAGTTCATGTATGTTTGAATATATATTTTTAAAAATCAGTTTTGTAAATTAAAAATTATTTGGATAATAATATGAGAATTAATTGAAATTAGCTCCAATTTACATTTGAAAAGTTATAAGCTATCTAAAGTTTTGTTTGCCAAATGGATCAGACTTACCATCAACGCAACAAATATTTAAATAATATCTATGTTTAGACGGCATACTGAAAGTACTTTTCAAATTGAAAATATTTTATCCAAACACAGCCTCTATGACTATGACGACGAAATGGTTTGGCTATTTAAAAAAAAAAAAAAAAAAAACAAAGAAAGAAAGAAAGTGAATACATACACTACTTCATAACTTGTGTTGGTGAAGCATTAATTTAGAACTTTAAATTGAAGACATATTTTGTGATACCATCACTTTTAATTTAAGACATCTTGCGTATCATTGCAGTTTTATCAGATGTCTTTGAGGAACTACTAGTCTAAGAAATCACGGAATTAATGCGCCTAATTAAGGGGAATCTCTAGATATGTATTAGTTAACTCTTGATTTGTTGTACTCTTTTCGAGCACATAACTTACCAATCTAAGTGAAGGAAAAATCTTGAAGAGTGAATACCAAATCGAGGATTGGTTCATTAACTTACTTGATCGTACAAGAAAACTTTATTTCTTTCTTCTTCCCAGCTCCGAGTCATATACATAAGCAAATCAACCAAAGCTGAAAGAAAAAGTCAGGCTGATTAGCAACATATACCATGTAAGCCACGTGGTTTATTAATGAATTAGGTCACTCATTTTTTATACCTGGGATTTTCTGGACCAGTGATCGAGCACGTTCTGCACGTCTCAAGTTCTTGTGATTTCCTCTACCTACTGTGTATCGTTTCTCATCCTGACAATCACACACAAACAAGTTTCATACTTTAGAATTTCAACATGGATTTAATTTTCATAGGATATGAGGTGTCTATTGTTCTGTCTGAAGTCTCTTCGAACATGTAAAATCTTAATCTTTCATTTCAGCTAATAGCATGGTCAGGGAAATTTCATCCAATTCTATCAATGAAGGGCTGAAATTTTGAACGATATTAGAGAGGACAGCAGATATCTCAAATCTAATTTTGTATACTTCGTAGTCTCAAGTGTCATAGTGAAATGAAATGATTTAATTTAAGAATTACGTGCATGGGATTTCTAACCATGCTATATTCTTCAAGCCAGCGTTCTTCATCGCGTGCTAAAATCCACTTTTCTACTTTCTCCATTATAGCCTTCCTGCTTGAAGCTTCTTCTTTAGCTCTTGCTATCTGTTCATCCATGCTCGTGAGGAGATCGGAATGGTCAATCTCCCCTTTTAATTCACATATATTCAAGTCAATTTAATGTCCACATTGCTTCAACTTTCAGTTTTATTCAAATATATATGTATATATAGATATAGACATTACTACCCCACTTTCTAACCTGAGTTTATGAGGCCAATAATATTGTTGATATCAGACTTTGAAGGAATCTCCATGTGGGTTTTACTGCATATAAGCTCAAGCTCTTCTTGTTTCTTCTGGAAAAGCTCTTTCATCTTGCTGGCTTTCAGATGATCCAGTCTCCTTACTTCAGCTTCAGCCTTGAAAAAGTTTAGTAAGACTCTGAAATGTTTCTGATATATATATATATATATATATGTCATTAAAGATATTGTAATATATGTACTAACCTGTTGAATTATTTCTATGGTGAGACTTCCTGGATCTGATACTTCTGCTGGTGAGCATGACAACAAGTTTATCACGTGGGAAAAGGTTTCTGATCTTCTCTTGGCGTGTCCATAAGATTCCATAGCTTTGTCAGTTCTTTACCTAAATGATGAAGCTGCAAGAATTATCATAAACACCATAAATTTCTTTCTTGGATAGAAACTAGATTGAATCTTGTGCTTTAAAGATGATTTAAAGCACAAGTGTGCTAGTTATATATGCGTGTATTTCACTTGTGAGGTTCCCGATGTGAGACTCATCCACTTCAACTATTACCAGCAGAAATAGTCTATAAAGAGAATACATTTCAAAAAACCTAGAATGTTAGATGAAAAAGCCTTTAAATTTATAAATTTTACTTCACTTAAAACTCCTTAATATGAGACTTAGCTTTTAACAGTTCAAATATTATAAGTACAAGTTTAAAAAAAATCAATTTCAAAAGACTAATCTGTAAAATAAAGAAGCTTCTTAAACTTATAAATCCTACTTCATTTGTGAGGCTTCTGATGTGATGTGAGACTCAACAAAATTTCATCCTATGAAAGACATGAAAAGATGAATTTTTAATTACCTGGTCGAGTCGCTTATGTTTTTCTTCCACAAGGGAGTCCACAGTGTGATTGAGTTTAGTGAGAACATTGTCACTGATATTCTTTGTTACTCCACAGAGATCGTTCAAGCTCGGGTCAACTTCTGTGATGATGGCCGAGTAATCCCTTCCCAATATCGTCGACAAGCTGTGGATTATGTCTATGTACTTGTCCACTTGCTGCAGCCTCTCATTCTTTCAAAGTAAACCACACACAATGACAATATATGAAAAATGGTGAGCCTATGCAATAAAACCATTAAAGCACCAACAATGCAATCTCATTCAATTTGTTCATTCATATCTAAAAAGCTAGTAGAGAAATAGTCATATGATAGTGGGTCCTA